TGAAAGTGCACATTCAGTGCTGGTTCAGTGACACTCTGAATTCTGATCCTAGCTATACCACTCTGCATGTTTGACCTGGGACAAATTACTAGGTCTTATTCCACTCAGCAAGAACCTGAAAATAATAAAAATGTATGTGATAGAGTTGTTGTGACATGTGATTATTACACAAAATATCTCATGGTTTGGTTAGCATGGTAATCAGAACATAATAAGTTACATTTTTATGATTTATTTATTAATTAGTTTTATAATGATTCTGTACCTTTGAGGTATTTCTTCTAGATATTTTAATGTTCTTTCTCATAATGAAATGATTCAATGGAAAAGACAGACTGCCCCACAAATTTTTATTTGCCGTTGAAGAACAATGATGGACTGGAAAAAGATCTTAACAAGGAGATTGGTTTGATCTCTTAATTATACATGTATATTGAGAAATATGGGGAGAGGGGGAGTGTATTGGGGTTAGAATTGATCATGGCCACAGCCAATATCTTTGGAGTGGCTGTATTAGAGTCCTGACTCATCTGGCTTCCTGCCTGTGCACACCTTGTTGGGGCAATAGATAACACATCCTTGCCACCTGATTTTAGGCTCCAGACTTCAGCCAGCCAGGCCCAAGGTTGCTGTTGCTGCTTTTAGGGAGTGAACCAGTAGAGGAAAGCCTCTCTCACTCTCACTCTGTCTCTCACCTTTCTTATATCCATCTCTTCTTTCCTTTCAAATAACAAAACATACATTTAAAAAAAAATCACATGGAGACATTGACATCAAGCATTGCCTTTGGAATAAGTGAAATTGTGAGTAATGCATTACTAATCTATAGGTTCGCTATTTATAAATGGATCAGCTTTTTTTTTAATCAGCAAATGTACCAGTGCATTCTGTTTTCATCACACAAAAGCACTTGAAAAACTATTGTTGTGTGCATATTTCTATACATTGTCTTGTTTTCTTGGCATGATGTAGCACAAGGTTTTTTCTTATCTCTTCATCTCCAGTGTCATAAAAACAATTTATATACTTCCCCCCACTTTATTGAAATGGATTGTTTGTGCCTCATTTCATTGCTGCCATTTTGACACTTTTGGGGCATTACTGAATGCCTCATACTTCCAGCTCTGGGCCATGCAACTAACTCATCTGTACTTTGTCTTGAATGCCTTTCTGGTTTCTCTGTCTGAGCTTTCTCTGAGGAAAGAGTAGAATAAATGGATATTTGTTTGCTCACGAAATATCATATTCCTTTGTGCACATGAATCAGCTGATATCAGTTTTAAAGCAATCAAGACTTCTGATCTCTCACCCCCCCATCAAAGGGCTTGTGTGGATCCTGGGAATCTGTATTCATTACATGCATCTAACCCAATTTGCAAGCAAATGGTTTCCAGGCCTTTAAGAGAGATGACTTAGCTAGTACTTCACTTTCTCCACCCTTCTCCTTATGGAACAGGAATAATTCATCATAAATCTACTTCACTAACTGTTAGTATTAAACTAGATCACAAAACTTTCCACCACACAATTAAATTCCTTGTTTCCCATAGAATTTCAGTTTTGGGAAGTGCTGATCAGTCTATGTTCATACGTTACATTTTCTACACCTTCCTTCTTCACATATATTATTGTGGAAATATATGCAAATGTGTCAAAATTATAGATGATAAATACCAAAATGATTAAAACAAGAAACTGCATTTGAAAACAGTCAGCTGTTAGACTATTGGGAGGATGTGTTTTAAATGATGTTTTGCATCAGGGCCTTTGAGTGGCTTTGCCAATGTTTCTGATAAAGCATATGTTTGCAGGGAGACAGTTGTGATCTCACTGCATTTTAAGTGGTGGCATCTAAGCACAACTCTATGCATCTACCCGGATACATTTAACAGCTTTGCAGTGTAATTTCACAGATTCAGAAACTGAGGTCTTGCGGATTCTTCAATACCAATCCAAAAATTACCCACCTTGGTTTCCAGTGAAACCGCTTTCCCCCACATGGAATATAAAGTGTCGAATACTAACAATAGAATATTAAAAGCCAAATTTGAAGCAATTACCCACAGCTTTAGAGAACATTCCCACACACAGCTGGTGCCCGATCAGAAAGCCTGTGTCTGTCACCCACCATCTCTACTACTCATACACTCAGAATGTCAGAGCTGCAAAGGATCTTATAGATTATCCTCCCCCTCCTTTAACAGATGGGAAAACGAGGCAAAATTAAATGGACTTTGTCCCCCAGAATCAGTTGCCAAAAGGCAAAAAATGTCATCAGAACACAACTTTCCATAATTTGGTTTACTCTCCACATTGCCAAACTCTGCTGTTTCCTTTGCTGAAGTAGAAGGGTAACCTAGTTGCTGGGAGAGGAACGTAGGTGCTGACGTTACAGCCATGTGTTTGGAGAGTGACCTGAAATACCAGAAAGGAAGTCTTTCAAGATAGAACATAAAAAGCCATACATTAAAAAAAAATAAAGACATTAGAGGCCAGCAATACCAAACTGTTTTATCTGTTAACAATGATATCATCACAGTAATGTAAACTGAAACTGCTAGTGGTCAACCTAGGCATTGCTCACTCTCAGGATGTAAAGTTTAATCAAGAGCACAGAACAATAAAAGCACAAAACTTGGCATAAAAATTACCTAAAAGTCTGAATCTGATACATGCTGAGAAAAAAAAAATGTGAAACTCATTTTCATTCTCTGTTAGATGGGCAGAAATGTGCTTATGTATAAGTTAATATAATGCGCTTAACCTCATGCCTTGTCAATGAGTGCTTCCCTAATAGGTGGTATTTTTTCTTCTTACTAATAATGTGAATTATACATATGATATAAAAGGAGTTTAGTCAGTGAGAGTGTGAAATGTATCTTTCTACTTACCCCTTTGTGCTGTCTATCCTTCCTTTCTTCTTTTCTTCTTTTCTTCCTCCCTCGCTCCCCTCCATTTCTCCCTCCCTCCCTTTCTTCCTTCTATTTATACTGTGTTCCCTTAATACATATACTCAATGAAGAAGACAAAAATGTAGGAGAGTCAAATCATGTGAAGATATGGGGGCACATCTTGAGTTATCCAGAGAACTGACACTTGAAAATGGCAGATGGAAAATTTGGAAGAAGAAATGTATAACCAAGGATGAATTAAAAGCTGTGTTCAGAGCAAGTAGCAAACCCAGAAATAGTTAGAACTCAGCATTTAGAGAAAAAAAAATCTTGCATATTTTGCTGCAATAAGAATAGACTTCCAACTGGAGAGAGAATATTATAGGGAGGAAATTGCTGTCCAGGGTTGATGGAAAGCATTTAACTCTCTCTAAGCCAAGGCTGTGATATTCCAAGGGATTAAAGGAACTGATGGGTAACATCTCTGAGTATTCCTTTACTTGGACTAGGGAAATGGTAGAAGCCAGGAGAAATATTGCTCCAGTTCTTAAAAAAAAAAAAAAAAAAAAAAAACCTAAAATTAGACTCCAGAAACTTTAGACTCACAGCTTGAGATAGACCTTACCAAAATTTCCCCTTTACTACACAAAATATTTGTGATTAAAAATTAGTATTGTAGCATTAAAATAAAACAAACTAATTTTATTGTCTACAAGGTAAATTTTCTGTTTGGCAAAGATATTTCAGCAAGACATTGGGAAAAAAATCTACCAAGATTGTGTTCCTTCTGGGGCATATCAAATATTATGTGTTTGATAGTAAGGAAGTTTGAGTCATAATTCTCTTAGTCTTATTGTGCTCAACCTTTTACACCTTGATTAAAAACCCAAAAGCAGATGATACTAGGTAGAACAATGATCTTCCTGTGTGTTTATAAAATCGTTAAAGTTCAATTTGGGGCCCGGCGCCATGGCCTAGTGGCTAAAGTCCTCACATTGAATGTACCGGCATCCCATATGGGTGCCGGTTCTAATCCCGGCAGTTCCACTTCCCATCCAGCTCCCTGCTTGTGGCCTGGGAAAGCAGTCAAGGAGGGCCCAAGGCCTTGGGACCCTGTGCCCTTGTGGGAGACCTAGAAGAAGTTCCTGGCTCCTGGCTTCGGATTGGTGCAGCCCTGGCCAATGATTCACTTGGGGAGTAAATCATCGGACGGAAGATCTTCCTCTCTGTCTCTCCTCCTCTCTGTGTATCTGACTTTGTAATGAAAATAGAATAAATCTGAAAAAAATAAGCTTCAATTTGAATAGGTGCTAAATAATCACATCTTGAATGTTTAAATTACAATCATTTAGGATAATATAAATCAATTAAAATGATATCAAACCACTAAAATCAAGTTTAATTGTTACAGCAGAATGTCCTCTATTTGGCTCAATAAAAAATTTAAATAAACAAATAATAAAACACATCCGTGTAAGAAAAAAGATTCATAGACATGGGTAAATGTTGTACCAAAAAGATAAAAATTGGCAACAAAGTTAGTATCTGCTAGTTTAACACCGCATGGTTGGAAATTAATTGAATTTGATTGCATTGGTATAAGTAAAACTGATGATGATAAGTACATGATACAAGCCAGGCTGACTGTGAATATGTGTGTTCTTTCCTGGTACTCTTTCAAGAGAGATCATCATGAAATAAATTGCATTCAGAAGATTGTGCTCATTATGGATATAATTCAAAAGCTGTAACATAAGAACTGTTAAATAAAATGGAGATGTGTAGCCCAGAAAGGAGAATGCTTGGATGGTATAACCAGCAGAGGGTAGAATTTTGTGAGTGGGTCTAGCAGACACATGTGGTTCCCACTAGGTAGGAGTTAGATGTGGGCAGAGTCTGGTTAAACAGTATCAGGTTGTTTCCAATAGCTAAAGCTGCTTTAAAATAATGATGGTTGTCCTAGCACTAGAAATCCCTAAGTGGAGGCCCTCTGTCATTTGTGTGCATGGTGTCATAGTGTTCCTGGACCGGGGGAGGAAGGGCTGTTTCATGAGATGGTCCCTGGTGTGCATTCCAATGCTGAGGTTCTCTGATCTTCTCCCCTTCCAGGGATGCAGTGGAATGTGGAGGCCCATGGGAGAATCAGTGCCACCCTCCAGCAACTTCTCCTTTGGTGACCTCTCAAACCACTGATACTTAGGCCCCTGAGACAATGACCTAGAAGACACCCATGCCTCTGAGGGAGGACCAGGTCCTATGCTGTGACTTGTGTAGGATTGTACCCAGTATTCTTACCTGAGGTTCTTTTATCCACTGGTGCAGGCACCCCATGCACATCGGCTTTTCCTCTGAGATTCCTGCAGGTGGAGTGCAAGAAATGGGACAGAATGGCCTCTTTGTTCACTTCTCATCTGATAGCACTCCCTCTTTCTGTGTTCTCCACTCTTGACTGGCATTCTCTGTTGTCCCTGACATGTTTCCTTGCAATGTCTGGTCCATCTCAGTCATATTCCAAACATGGTCACTCACTGTGTCTAATCTCAGTTGTGAATGTCTTCAAACAGGCCTTCTTTGCTGTGTCTACTCATAGACATTGTCAAAAAAACGCTCCCTGTGCCTGTCTTGGTCAGAATCGTGTTCCAGAATCCTGCATTTCTTGCTGAGTTGTGTTAACCACAGCCATGTTTAAAACTGTTGCATGTCTCTTTCTCACTTTGTTCTGGGCCACATAGGCACTTTTCTCCCTGTGTCTGAGTCCAACTGAGCGTCCTCCTCAATCGATAATGGACTTCCATTTTGTCTTTCTTAGTCTGCTGTCAGTCAGTCTTTTTCTCCAGGACCTGTTCCATTTAGTTACCTTGGGATCACAGAGGCAGAGAAGAAAAGAGATGGTTTCCATAGCAACCCCATGCAAGGGGAACCAACAACAGCTCTTTCCAGAGTTGTGGTCTCACTCCAGGATGCTTGTTGTCCCTGTCCTGCTCAAATGGGACATCTCCTCCTTGACAGCCTTGCATAGGGCTGACAGCATTGCAATATTTATTAAAAGACTTCTCCACCTTTTCTGGATACTCACAGTGAGTTTAGTTTAACCATGGCACTAACCTTGAATCTGGTCTGTTCCCTCCAAAGAACAGAATTGTTGAAAGCTCATACTGCATGAACACATCACTCTCTGCTGCCTCCCAGGTGCAGGAGGAGGGCAGGCTCCTGCAGTGCTGGAAGTAAGAAAACCATGTTTGACTTCAAGTTCAAAGACCTGGATTCTAACTGTAGGTCTGCCTTTAATCTGCTATGAGATCCTGAGAAATGTGCCTCCTCATCTCTGAACCCGACTCTACAACTGTCAGTTGAAGTTTGGACTAGAGGACTCTAAGGTTATTAATGTCTCCAGGACAACAGGATGCTGCTACAGCCATCTGCTACCTCAAAAGCCTTTTAGCTTCAAAGGAACCGCCTGCCTTGTGTGGGCTTCTGAACCCCTGACCATGTCAGCTTTAGTTTTCAGACTAACTTGGATGTCTTTTACTTGTAGCAGAGCTCATAGCTCTTGACAGTTGCCTCAGTGCAAAGGTGCCGGGGCGGTAAATGCACTTCCAGGGCTGTGTGATGTCTTAGCTCTGATCTTGGCTGTGGTCTAAAAGCACCTCAGGACTGTTCAGCAAAATTTTTCTCTCATTGCCTCTGAATAAGTGTTATCAGTTCCATTTCGGTTTACTTTTATTCTGTAATCCAACATAACAGGGAAGAGACTTTGGAATGAGGAAGAGAAGATTGCCCAAACCATTCAAATGTAAAAAGAAAAAATAATTCTGTGTGCTGTGAAGACTTATTTTTTTCCAGGAGAAAGTCATGCCTGAGGACAGGGAAACAAGCTCTGGAAGAGAAACACTACTCTGAACTCCTGCACACTAATGAGAAATACTTCTGGAGGCAGAAATGTTACTGGTTCAGACGGACTCTCCCTGATTGGTGGCGTAGATTCAGCTGGGGATTTGTGTTCTTGTCCAGTATGGAGAAAGTTTATTGAGATTCTGACTCGCTCTGTGATTGTACCAGTCCTTTTTGGTTTTCAAGTCACGGTTCCCCTGCCGTCAGCAACCACCCTTAGGACGAAATTACCGTGATGAGGATGGTACTTTTGCAATTCAAACAAGAGAAGAGCAAGCTTCTGAGACTCACAGCTCTGGAACAGTGATGAGATCAAACCAATCTTCTCCAGCTACCTGTCCACCTTTCCCACCACCTCCACCAGCTCCTTGTGAGGGGAAGGTGCAGTATGAATGCAGCAGGTGCATTGAGTCAATTACCAACTACGTGACTTGAACTAATAGGTGAACACCTCTGGCCTCCTCACTATTGCACTGAGTTGTTGTGGAGATAAATGTGTTTTTTTTTTCTTCAGACATTCTATAAAGGATAAAATGTTATTCCCTATGTTTATAATTACTTTGACTATTTTGGATTACTGTGAATGAGCATGAGCTCTCAGGATTAAGAATATATTCACTAAGACGTGAGCTAATTTAGAGAATGAGCTTTCGGTGATGAACATTAATATCATGGAGCGCTTCCAAATTGATCCCTGATCATTTGGTCACTTTCAGTTACCCAGTACCCAAATTAATGCATCACAAATGCTGTCATTTAAAAGGATTCTATTGTTCTCAATGTAAAATGGTGGTTGGGGAGAGATGTGGACTACTGTCTGGTCTTGATAAGAATAACCTAACTTTGCATTGCAGATCAATCCTTATGAAATAAATACAACGGTGTGTCATGAGAGAATATATTTGAGTAAAAAGTACCTGGTCCATAGAAATGATTCCCACCTTGTTTACTTAAATTCCATGAAAAAAATTCACAACTATTTGAATGGCCAGTTGACAAGAATGTTACACAAAGAGACTGCAAAGACACTAAAACCATTAACTTTTGAGATTTTGCTTTATCTGAAAGTCTGTGTAAATTATTGCTAATTGTGATTTAATGCTATTTTCACTAATATATTGGTTTTGTTTACTTTTTAAATAAAGTATTACAAATGGGGCAATTTATATATTATGAGCTCCGAGTCCTCTTGTGTAATCAACATATAAAATGTGTGCCCTTTGGGTCAAACATGGAGTTTAATTTTATAATTTCAAAGGATTAAAACATTTCAAAAGATGGATTAAATCTTCGTTTTTTTATTTTTTGAGAATGTTAGTTATAGCTATGATTTTTGATGTTAAAACCTTGAAGAGATACAGATCTGATTCTAATTTTGTTTCCATGGAAAGTACCTTTGCCTTTATGATATCTACTTTATGATGCAGTTCCCAGAAATGTTTTCTTTGGAAAACAGGAGTCTATATAGATTTTTTTATTGTTTTATGGTACAGTTTAGTAGGCACTGGAGTTTCCCTACCCCTCCACAATTTCCCTCCCCTCCCTTCTGTCTTCCCCTCCACTCTTACAATGGATGTCTTTCATGAATTTTCACAAGTCCATCATACTGCCACTGAGGTGTCTCCCAACAGTGTAGGAGATTATCAGGCATTTTGTTGCGAGTCCATCCTTGTAGTACATGCATGAGGACTTCTCTCTTTTTTATTGATAAATTCTATTTATTGGCAAATGGCCCATATGACTATATGAATGCATTCTGTACACATTTATGTAATCTGTATATTAAAGGAAAATAATAAGTCCAAAACTAGTAGCTAAATTTTGAGTGGACAAGAAAATACCAAAATCAAGGAGCATGCCTTAGTTCTGTAACTCCAAGAGTCCAGTGCACCACGGAGAAACAATGGTTGTTTGAAGCCGAGGGATATTCTGTGTCAGTGATCAGCATCTCCTCAGTGATAAGCCAGAACTGCAGGATCTCTGCCTCTCACCTTCATCAAGGCCTTATGAACCATCTTGGTCTCTGCTGCAGTGACCTCCCACCTCAGGGCGGGGATCGAGGACAGCCACCCTCAGGGAAGAAACAAGAAGCCAGCCAATGCTGTGGGATGCTACACAGAGGCTATGAAGCATGTGCTTCCTTGCAGGAACAAGCCCTCACTCAGGAGCCTAGAGGGCACCCTTACACCCAGATGACATGTCAGTTAAAGTGAGGTCCCATCTCCTCTGAACATGGGCAGGGGAAAGCCCCTGCCACCATCAGTTGACAGGATAATGATCTCAGCTCTTCTGTTTAACATATAGATCCTGCAACGTCTCAATATAAAATACAAGGGGCAGACAATAATTGGCTTTTAAAATGAGAATTCTTTATTCATACACAAACTTCTCTAGCATCCCAGTGTGTAAAAGCCTCATGCACAATTGGAAAAGTCTCCACTAGCTATAATTCATGCCCTAAAAGGAAATTTCTTGGGAAAATTCCTGAACAGCTGGACCAGGGATCTTCTCTGAAGGTCAGTGGGAGAGTCTAGGTCTATACCCACCCTTGAAACACACACATCTTTCTGGAGCACTGTTCATAATATTGTTGAAACCTGTTGTTTCAGGTAACAGCCCTTTCCTCTGACACACACCACCTGCTTATCACAAAACCAATTCATGCATGCAGAAAAGACCCCCATCTCCTGACATGTGCTTCCTAGAAAGGATACCAGGGCCTTCCCTGTGTTGTGTTCAGGCCGAGTAGCAGACCCCAGATCCCTGCAGACTCAGTCTCCAGAATAATCCAACTCTGAGGAATCATCTGTTTTCTCTTTCCAAATTGTCTATTTTCACATCTCCAGACTCACCCAGTCAGGGAAAAAAATAATTCCTTTTAGCAATAGCACATCAGCATGCCAATAAATGGATACTTTAAAATTTTGTGCTATATCCTGGGTCTGCAGTTGTGGGTACTGACAAGGTCTCTTGCCCTCTCTTTTTCTGGGAAGCAGAAAAAAAAGGGGGGGAAGTGCTGACACATACTGTAAAGAATATAAAAGATTGAAATAAGCAATGGCTGTCTAGTGCTAGCTGGTTCATTGGAGATGGCTAAAGGAGGTAATTTTTGTGTCCAGGACTATGAAAACAGAAGAGTTGTTTGTGCATTTTACTTGACGGGATCTCATCTTGGAAGCACCTGACATGGTGACTGAGGCTCAGTGAATCTGGGGGAGAGGTCGTAGGAGATGGGATCAGATGTGAGGCAAGACTGGTACTGATTCAGTAGCAGCATTGGCTAACATTCACCCATTTATGTAACGATGTGTCAGGCTCAGTTGGAAGCATTTTACATGTTACCTCTTTTAATCCTATAAGGTAAGTATCATTTTCTCAGCCTCAGAGAAGTTAATCTGAATTTTTTCCAAGAAGGCTGGGATTACCTGAAACTGGAAATGCAAACCCAACCTTTCTCCCCCAGCA